CGCCTGCCAGGCCTGTCTTTTCTAAAGAGCCTGTAACCTTCCATTCCAACACTCCAGTCACAGGAGCCATCCAACCATGTTTCTGTGATGCCTATTATATCATACCCCCGTAGACGTGCACACATCTCTAATTCCTCCTGTTTGTTCCCCATGCTACAGGCATTTGTATAGAGGCGTCTGAGCCGAGCTCCAAATGAAGCCGGCTCATTGGCTGGAGCGGCTGGGATATCTCCACATTGCTCTGAGCATTTATTATAGGTTCTGGCAACTGACTGGGTGTGTTGGGATGGAATGATGCCCCCCGCCCCCAACACATCTAGTTTAAAGCCTCCTTGACCAGCCTGGCAAGCCTCCTACCAAAACTGCTCTTTCCCTTCTTCAGCAGCAGCTCCACCAGCCCCCAGTAGACCTGGCCTACAAGCTTGGGTCCCATGTTCAAGACACCCAAACCCCTGACTATGGCACCACTGTTCTAACCATTTATTAACCTAGCCGATCCTTCCCGCTTTTTTTAGGTCCTCCCCTGTATCCTGGAGAATTGATGAAAAGACCACCTGAGCTCCAGAGCCCCTAACCACCTCTCCCAGGGCTCTGTAGTCCTCCTTTATGTTCCCCAGGCTACTACTATCTATATCCCTAGCACCCACATGTATCACCAGGAGTGGGTAATAGTCCGTGGGACTTACTAGAGCAGGCAGCCTCCCTGCAACATCCCTGATCCATGCCCCCGGTAGGCAACACACCTCCCTTGAGACAGGGTCTGGCCGGCAGATGAGTGCTTCTGTCCCTTTCAGTGTAGAGTCAGTATAGATACTATAGATGTACTCCTCAAAGACCTGCCAGCCTAGGTGCCAGCAAGAACTGCATTCCCTCCTGTCCCCCTCCTGCCCATTACTGCTTTGGGAGCTTTGCATATCAATATTCTCATTCATTCGCCTTTCATACCAATCTTCACATTTCCGTCACATTCTCTGCTGCTACATAGGCTCCCCATGAGGCTGTGCTTGGGCACAACTTTCAATTGAGCTCCAGGATGCTACGAAGAGGGAGACCCCAGCTCTCACCCAATCCACGGAAAGGATTCAAGGGGCTCATAGGAGAAGCAAAGTATGCTCCAGCCCAGTCCTCCAGCAGGTCTTCTAAACTCAGTTCTTCCCGAGCACAAGGTGGGTGTTTTGGACAAGATCCTTCTGCTCAGGTGACTTACAATTAAGTATCTTCTTTGGAGCTTGCTCCCTAGTCAATGGATATGGCCCATTCTGAGAGCAATACCTGACTTTATGATGGAGATGGCTAACATGGGTTAGATGGAGTGTGCCCATGGAATGGCTATTTCTTTCCATTATCTACCCAGGGAGAAGAGGACAGTGAGCTCACACTGAGATGTCTACTCCATAGACCTCTGAAGTTATGTGAGCAGAATCCTATCTCTGCAGCCCAGAAAAGAGCAAGCAATGGGAGTGCAAAATGCATGGTTGGTGGGGCTTGCCATTCACAACCTGATCCCAAATCTTTTCTCAGCTGTACATCATACATGCAGTTTGAGCTTCCCCACACTTCCTACAAACTTCCTAAAAGCGTGAGCAACCTGAGAGCATGTTTCCCAGGATTCTTCCTCTGCAGACTTCTCCCTGCGTTTTCATCTTGTAAGCATCCTTCTCCTGCCAAGCTGGCAACGTCCTTGAGAATTCCTGCCATCCCCCTCTGGCACAGCAGACTTTGTGGCTTTTGATCTTTTGCCCTATTGATCTAAATTGGCTCAAGGATGGTCAGGAAGTGCTTTGTGGTCTAGGGTGCATTGAGGCATGGGAAGAAAATGTTCTGTGAATTGTGCTGGGCAGGACAGGCTTTTATGTGATGCTCATAACAGCAGGGAACTGGATGGGGTGACCCAGGCAGTCACTTCCCCACCAGTTTGCTGGTAGGACAGGCCTGGGCAGCCTCCAGTTTACCTGCCCTACTGATGTGCAGCCACCTTCTGATTTTTGCCATTGGCACTGATTCTTAAGGGACGACTGAGGGAAATCTCACATTACTGCTGGCCTCATCTAAGCACAGGAGCGTTCTGTTGCCAAGCAAGAACCACATGCAAACACAGTAAATGTACAACCCAGGTCTGAGGGGAGAGCTGAACTCCAGCCAGCGTGACAGTGGCAGCCAGTAAGTTTGTGGGCTCCGGAAGGACACTTTCTGGAAGTGTTACAGAAGACCTTGATGACTCCTGACATCTCTGGTGTGTGCACTTGCAGTGGTTACCTCAGTAACATGTGCTAAAAAGTCCCAGCTTGCTCAGGGATAGGCTTTGCCACCCTCCCTCTCCCTGTAATATCCTATTCTTGGCATGCTGGCAATAAATAACCCCTTTGTCATGCACCATGGGCACACCAAGTACTCAAACAGGGCCATCCTTTGGATTTTATTTTCAGCAGTGGATTTTAGCTGAAAAGCAGAAGCTCTGAATAGGGGCTCTGGCATTTTGCAAGGCTTGGCCTAATTACTCATGCCTGTTGGTTCCCACAGTCCTCCTGGCGTGGTGGTGTCACTGGGCCCACACAAACAGGGGCAAAGCGGTACCTTGACTGAGGTCAGAAGCCTGGCACTTTGGGAAGGCGCAGCCTTTGTTCTTTCCTCAGTTGAAAAACAACGCGGCTTTGTCACTCTTCAGCAGGGACACATCCTGAGAACTGGCTGAGTCCAGTGGCTTGGGGAGGGAAAGAAATGGGGGAAAACTGCTTATTCTTTTGACAGAGAAATGGCATCTCTAAGGTGCAGGACAAACAAAGAGCCAGATGCCTTGTATGTTTAATGGTCAACAGCAAGTATGATTTCAATCTGACAGGCATATCAAAATGGCCCTCTTCTTCCTAGAGGTGACATGGTTCCTGGTTTCCAGTTGCAACCTGGACCTATTTCTTCTGTATTGGAGACTTTAATAAACCAATAACCACTGTCTGCAGGGTTATTCACCATCCTCACATTTTCCATGGCTTCCATGAAACTTCACTCCATACATTCCTGGAGGGAAGGCTTTCTGCTTTCCAGATGGTCTGCATTGCCGTGCGTCTGCCCTGGCAGGTATACCACAACGGGTATAGCATTAACCCCATGTGCAGACAACTGGAGCCTGGGCTACACTTGCAGCAGGCTTTTGTGTGAGCTTTGGTCTGACAGAGTGCTCCTTGCAAGGAACACGCAGTGGGCTCTGCACAAAGGCAGGTACATGACCAGAACTAGCCTTGCCTCCTGGACTTGGCAGCGCTTTGTGAATGATCTGCTGCACAGGCACAAAGCAGTCATGGCTGGAGAGAATTTGAGTCCTTTGTGGGCAAGAAGGTGGCAAGACCATGGAGATACAACCTTGCAATGCTGGTTGCTGCCAACACAGAGAGCAAATGCATTGCATATGCATGTAGGTACATCCATGGTATCTCTATTACTTCTTCGGCATTCCCACTTCATGTATACAACATACAGATCCATGCTTTCCATTATGCATACCAGATGTGTCCGTTCATTGCTTGCCGTCTTTCCTCCCCAGCTCAGAAAGAAAGGCTCTACTCTTTGGCAAACACTGCTGCCAAATTCATCCTGCAGAGCAGTTGCTCCAGGGGTGCAGCTTTGGGAATCTATACCAGAGATGAGCAGGAGCAAGCTGCTTGGGGGGCAGAAGGGAGGCGATGCAGAGGCAGAGTGAGAGCTGCAGTCAGAAAGGCTCTCCAATTTGGAGGAGGGGCAGTTCCAGGGGCTGATGTGCGGATCAAAAGGCAGTGGATTTCAGGGGGAAGAATTGGCCAGAAGAAAGATTTAAAGGGAACCCAGTAGATAAAGCCCCCAGCTTCTCTGGAGCAGGGAAAGTCGGTGCTTTGCTGTGGAGCACGTAGCATGGAATAACAAACCAAACAAAAGCGGTTGCTGTTCCTTCTCTTTGTGCTCTCTGCAGGAGCCCAGCTAATACCCCAGGCAGCATTACTGTATCCTCACCTACAAGCCCAGCCCAAAGTCAGGCTCTGGGCCCTTCCTCTGGGGTGGGCAGGGGAGTTTCCACCTATGCACAACTCCGTCTCCTCGCTTGAGGCCTCTTCTCCACCACCTGGTGCTGTGGATAGTTGGGGGCTTTCCCAGGGAGTCTCTTGAATTGCTAGATACAGGGACTTTCCCCAGAAGCTTTTTCTGCCCACTGGGATGTGGCTGAATTTTGCCCACTCCACATGAACAGATGCTGACAAAAAGCTGCCTATAACAAGAGTAACAACACCCACACTTTCCCAGAGCACCCACCACCAGGTCCAAAATGCCATGAAAGCCACCCTACATGCACAGATGTTCACATGGGCATAGTAAATCCTTGAAAAGAAAACACAGCTGCTAGGAACCCCCTTCCTGCCTATGCGCTTGTTCATGCAATGCCTTTTCTGCCCCTCCACTGGCTATCTTCGGTCTTGTCACACTTAAGCTTTGGTACCTACTGTCAGGGGGATCAACGATTCCCTCTCCCAGCTCAACTCTGCCAATGCAGGGCTCATGCAGCTGCCTGAGCTCCTCTAATCTCCCTGCACAGACCCAGCCAAGCGCTTCATGCAGTTTCTGTACCCAGAGCATCCAGGTTTAAAGCAACCCCATGTACAAGAAGTTTTCTGTCCAGCACCTGTTTATTGTACATCTACAGAGCATTTTTCAGTATAAAAAATTATGCCTAATGTTCATTCTTGTCTTACAACAAGAAGTAATGCAGTTGAACTGTATCATACCAGTCTGCATTTTCCAGACTTCCACCTTCTCTTTCCTTCAGATTTATCAGAGAAGTGATCTTACCACAGAAGGGATTAGCCAGATTTTGCCTGCTGTTGTGCAGTCCCACTCACTGGCGTCTTGTAACCTTGTGTTACCTGAGTGCTGACAGCGCCTGTGGAAGGGCTTCAGAGTGGGCCTTGTAAAGGGAAATTTTGGCAAATCTCTCTGTCACTGCTGGTCTCCCGTGTACTACCCTGTAGGTGCTGCAGACCAGAGGGCATAGCAGCGGAAGGGGGTAATGTCTAACACACCATAACAGCCATGGTCGAAGCTCATCTCTCAAAGCCCTCACTGACTTGCAGATTGGCTTTGGTGCTCAAAACCTCCTCTGAGTTTTCCAGCTCTGCTAGCAGATACAATGAAAAATACTCCCTCCTCCTACAACCCATTGACCTGGCTGTGTCCTGAGACATTGCAGCTACAGCAAAATATGCTGGAGACCTCGATGTCTGGTTCTCTTCCAAGAGCATTTCACCTCAGATGCCTGGAAAACGTGAGTTCACATCTGATTTATGGGAGGACTTTTTCTGTGGAGCAAACAAGCAGCGAGTAACCCCTCTGTGCTCTGAGCACTGGAGGGCCACAGGGAAAGAAAGGGGTTTCTGCCACAGTAACTGCTCGCCTCAAACTGAATCCCTTTCACCAAAGCATCCCTGCATACAAAACCTTCCTGCAACGGCTGGCAATGAAAGGCCTGTGTAGATAAAACCACAAATGCTATGGATATGCATTTTTCCTTCAATTCACGCTGTCTTACTCCAAAATGTATGGGTAAAATGCTGTCAGATTCTGCTGTCCTGGGTTTTTGTTTGTGGGCTGGATTGTTGGGGTTTTTTTTTAATCTTTCAGTTAAATTAATGCATTTTCAGCTGCTTGGTTAATGACCTAAATATGCAAATCACACGGTGAGGCTACCTTCTGCAGTTTGCCAGGCATAGATTTGAATGAGGAGCTTAAAGGACAGTGAAACCCTCATCACAGCAGACTCAGAGCATCAGCTGCAGGGAGGGAGAGCAGTACAGCCCAGCTGCACAATGATCACACGCTGATCTCTGCTGTGTTCTGCTGGAGAGCATTTGCAAGTAATTCAGATGCTGGAGTGGCTTCTGTATTGCATCTTCTCAAGGGAGGAACCAGATGAAAGATGCACATATAGCCTCTGTTGTGCTCATTGGGGTTCTTTAAGTTTGTGTTACTGAACCATAAACCAGTTGATCTATACTTACTACTGTAGCTGGAGAATTTGTCTCCAAGTTATCTGTCTGCTCCCCAGGGAAGAAGGTGGAGTATGTCTGAGCTACTTTTTCTGATGAAGACAAAAATCGTTGTTATAGCCAACTTCATCGGTTTACCCATCGGTACCATTTCTTGTTTGGGTCTTCCATGCACTGGAGTCTACATCTCTCTTACTTCATGCTCCCTTTCTTAGCAAGTTAAAATGATAGGCATTAGTATTGCCTGGAGGAGAAAAGCCAGCCTGGCAGGCTTACAACTCACTCACTACTGTGTGTACTGCTAGAGAAACTACTGCCTATCAGATTGTGAACCATCGCTTTTCTTTACAAAATCCCTTCCCAGACTCCACTGAATCACTCTGCCATTGCTAATTAAGTTCATTGTATTCCATTTTCCCTGTGTTGATGTGACAGGGTATTTGTTTCGCATTAAATTCAGGTGAGACTTTGAGCTGACATGTCGAAAATCAATAAGCAGCAGAAATCATCAGGGGAAGCCAAAATGCTAGAGGCTGAACAAGCCTGTTGGGCTTCCTGGATTCAGTCCCATGGACACAGTCATATATTCTGGAGTCGTGAACCTCACAGGGAAATAATGACATACCAAGGGATTGAAACAAAGCTATGTATAGCGTTTCTTACCCCTATGGCCCGCTGATGCACATAAATAAATCAGGCATTTTGCATTACTGTTTTGTGGACTGTTTGGAAGTAGTTCATAAATTATTGGAGAAGAAAGGTCAGGCTCTTAATGAATGCTTTGGAAAATCAGCATCTTTGGGAAGGATTTGACACGCTTTGTTTACAGTGTGAGAGAGTACAAATCCTCTGAAATGCCCAAGGAGCCTTCCAGCAAAACCAGCGTAGACAAGGCTAGACATCCCAAATATTTCCCCTAAGTAAAAACAAACAACAACAAAAAAAGCAGGAAATTAAATCCCAGACCTTCCTTAGTCGGCACTGAAAGCTATGAAGCAGGCTCCTTTCGAACATCTTTCTAGCTCACCTCTGGGCACTGGTGACAGGCACATGGTGACTTATCTCAATAAAAACACTCCTGGAGCCAAATACTGCTCCAGTGTGAGACCTCATCCAGGCATCTCGGTATCATGCAAGGGACCAGGGTGGACTAAATGGGACCCCTTTGACCAGAGATCCCTAATGGCCTGCATGCTGGGAGAAAAAGCACTTTGAGAGCATTCCCCCCTCCCCACCCTGGCTCCCCCTTGTTTCCACCCCAGGTCAGACGGTGGCAGGGTGTCCCTGTATGCCCCATCTTCCAGGCATCCGTCCACAGCTCAGCATGGGGATGGCTCAACAAGGAGGAAAAGGGCTGTCAAAAGTGGGAGCAGCTTCCCCAGTGAAAAGAAGCCAAAAGCCCATTGCAATTAGCAATCTGGAGGGCAGACAGCAGTGCATAGAGTCCTGCAGGGACGGGCTGACATCAGCCGGAGTGGGGGGAAAACTGAGACAGCGTGGACAATGGTGCTGCTCTGCTTCCTCCTGGGCACGCTGTTGAAGCGAAGGGGAAAAAGAAAACGGGAATTATTGCTGCAGGGGGAGGGGGAAAAAAGAAAAATAAAATCAAATTAAAAAGAAAAACAAATCGGGGAGGGGGGAGGTGGGATTTCTCTGGAGGAACACACAGGAGATGCTCAGCAGAACAACGAGCGTGACCTTTCGGTTGGGTGGTTTCTTCCACGCAGGGGAGGCCCCTCGGTCCCAAAGACGAGGGGCTGCTGCCACCTCCCGGCGCTCCGGATCAGGGCTATGGCAGCGGAGGGGAGCGGGGCCCGGGCCGGGGAAGGGGAGCAACAGCCGAACGGAGGTGCAAGGCCAGTGCTGGCTCTTCGCAAGAAAGCAGGGATGGTTGGGTGAGTATGTAAAAATGCTTTGGTACGGCTTGTCTGAGCACAGCATCTGAGGCATAGAATCACAGAGTCATTTAGATTGGAAAAGACTTTTAAGATCATCAAGTCCAACTGCTACCATACGACTGCCAAGTCCACCACTAAACTGTGTCACTGAAGGCATCTACATGCCTTTTGAGCACTTCCAGGGATAGTGATTCCACCACATCCCTGGGCAGCCTGCTCCAATGCCTGAGCACCCTCTCTGTGAAGAAATTGCTCCTAATATCCAATCTAAACCTCCTCTGGAACAGCTTGAGGTCATTTCCTCTTGTCAATGGAAATCAAGGAAATAAAATTATGTGTACAAATGTTGCATTGGATATGCAGTTATGTGTATGCTGAAATACATATGTGTTCAGATCTTCACTACACTGTTGACCTTAAAGGCAGAGCAGAGGTTCTAGATTAAGCTGAGTGCCTTTTCCCCTGATCGGAGGCTAATGAAATGATCAACCAACTGTGAAAGCTTCACAGAGAAAGCACTGCAAGCAAAGCATGGAAATTCCCTTTTCCCCAGAAGGACCTGACTGTCAGCTAGGTCACTGGCTCCCCTGGGACATGCCAATCCACCCCATGCAGTGGCATGCTGTGGACAAGCAGGGTTAGCACTCTGAGTGGAGATGGACAGCAGGGCATGCAAACCACAGTGCAATAAGGCTGAGTAGTCATCCCCAGCAGAAAACCCTGTCCACCAGCCTCTTGAGAGGTCCACATGTTCAACCTATCCCCCACAGAGCCTCCCCACCTCTGAACTCTTACATAGCCCAAGTAACCATTCCAAAATAGCTCCAGTAAAATATGACAGTGCATTCTGGAAACAATGAGTGCATTAAGGAGGAGCGTCCCTGCACTGTTCCCCAGGGCCTTGCAGATCAGCCTCTGCCTATACCCCAGGGGTATTTGTGTCTCTCCCATGACCCCAGAGCAGCCAGTTGACATGCCCCTTGAACCTCCTCATCACTGTCACTGCAGTTTAGGTAGTGCTGTGGTTTGAGAGCAGGGCACAGTGACAGCAGGGAGCACTGCTCCTGTGCTCAAGCCCCCATAATCTTCTGTGCCTTCCCAGTCAAGCAGATATATTTCCTACAGCTCTGTGCTCCACAGCATGCTGGAGTGGCAGCCACCCTGCCAGACATCTGTAGGCAGTGGGCAATGATGGGTGTCCCCCACCCTGACCCTGATTTAGAGCTTCCCCAGTGTTGTGGTGGTGGCAGTGCCCACTGGCAACCTTCCCCCACAGCTCTCTGGGCAGACATGAGCTGGGAAAGGGCAAGCCAAGCAGGATGTCAGGCAGAGCCACGGGGTGATGTGGGGTGGCTGACAGGGATTTCCTTAGTAGCACCAGACTTTGCTGACCCCAGCTGCCAGCATCCCTGCAGAGGCAGGGCAGCTTCTCCAGGCTGGGCTGAGCCTACCCCTCCCAAGCAGAAGGACCATTTCCTGAAGAGTTAAGGGTCCTCACTGTGCATGGTAGGTCTCTACAAGACAGCTGGAGTATGTTCGTGGAGGCACGGACAAGTCCTCTGGGTTTTGGTTGACTTGCATCACTCCATCATCTCTCCTCAGCCCCTGGGATATCATTTTTATCCTGCATGTGCCACAAAAGTCTGCGTCATGTCTCAACCTCACATTTTTCCTTAAAAGCGCCTGTTAATTACAAGTTAAGCACAGCCATGTACCCTGGCTCCTGCACTGCTGTGTGGGCTCTGTGCGGACCCGGCTGCAATTCCCCTGGGAAAAGCCCTGCAGCTGAATCAGGAGGTGGGAAATGTGGGACTCGCAGTCACCTGCTCTCCTCACGCGGGCTGGTGGTTTTCCAAGCCAATCCTGACAAGAGGTCACACCGGAGGGACAAAGTCCGGGTTAGCGGGGGCAGAGCCCATGCCACCGCAGTCACCTGACTGTGGCATCTCCCAAATCCACGTGCCCAACACTAAAGCAATAAACTGCTGAGGTGTGCCCAGCATGTGTTGCATGCTTTTGAGAGAATACTGGGGTGTTTTGGATGTGTTTGGAGCCCTTTTTGTTGACAACAGAGGCAGTTACTGCTTTTCTGACCTCTCATTGTAGAGACCTGTACGGCAGAAGCCAAATCTTGATGACAATGACAGGCAGATGAGGGGTTACAGTGGCTGCACGTAACAGAATTTGCTTTAAAGGAAAAAAAAAAGGGGGGGGGGGGAGAGACCCTGGAAAGCTTTCACACTGCTCCTGATCTTTGTGTAGCTCTGGCTGACTTGCGTATCAATCAGAAACCAGAAATACCAGAGCTGTGCAACCCTCGTTGGGTCCGTGTGCCTCCTTGCCTTGCGCCCCGGGGAGATGCCGAAATCAGCGACGGACAAAAGGAGCCCTTGGGAAAGGCTGCCACCCTGCGGGGACACGGCTTCGCCGGGAAATCCCTGCCTTTCCCATGGGCTGTCCTCTGACACAAGCCAGGGGCAGCTTCCCGGCCGGGAGCCTGCAGGTCGCAACCTGCCAGCCCCTTCTCCCAGCTTTTTCTTGGAGGAAAGGACATCAGTCAGAGGTGACGCACCCTGCCCAAGCAGCGCAATGCCATGGAGGGGAGGGGCAGGTACAGCACTAGGTGCTGCTGCTGTTCCCCATGTTGCTGCCACCACCATGGGGTCACTGTGTGAGGATGGGGAGTTTGTAGGAGGAGGATGCATGGCCCTGGACCACTGTCTGATGCATCCACCTCAGGGGTCCTTAATTTCTCAAGGAGGGGAAGGTAAAGCCATTTCTGCTCTGTGTAGACAAGCAGGGTTAGCACTCTGAGTGGAGATGGACAGCAGGGCACACAAGCCACAGTGCAATAAGGCTGAATAGTCACCCACAGCAAAAACCTCTGGTTACAACCACCCTACACCAATCTGCCCTGATGCTGGAAGGTGCCATCAGTGCCCTGTGAGCAGGGCCCTCCACTGTCTTTCTCTCCATGATAAAATCAACTGAGCTCCTAACCAAAGAACTTATAAGAAATGCTGTTACTCCCTGAAGAGTGTTACCAACACCTTGTTAACAAACAGGCGAATTTGTGTAGAAAGCCCTGGTGAAGAACTCCTTGAAGCCATGGTCATAGGCTATGAATGACAAGACTTTCTTTAAATTAAAATTAAAGGAGACAATAATTTTTGCAGAGCCATGGGCATGGAAGAGGATGAGGAGTGTACCAGTTCCAGACTGGGAATACTTTAGAGTGAGAAATGTGAAATACTGTGAATGACACATAGATGATAGTAAGCAGGGAGCTGTTATTATGCCCATGCTCAAGCTCTTCTGTCACAAATAAATCCCTTGGGGATGGGGGGCTCTGGGCCTGGGGACGGGAGCCTTTGGTGGCACATTTGGTGAAAAAACACCACCAGCCATCCCAGCTATCTTTGCACAGCGGCTTTTAGCAGCCACTCATATTTTTAGTTAGCTGATGGATTGCAAAGGGCTTTAAAATCAGCCCTGCTCAGAGCAGTGAGACAGTCAAGGCCTGGTGTCCCCAGGATTTGCCCCAGAAGCAAGGGGCTGCCCCCCTTCATTGCAACAGCTGCTGCCCCCTCTGCACAGCTCCTGGCTTGCCCCAAATCCGCCCCGTTTTCCTGCCATCAAAACTTTCACTTTCTGCCACCTAGAAGGAAAAAGGGGCCCCAAAATGGTTCAAATGTGATTTAATGGGACAGACACACACACACTGCTCAGACACCTGTAGGTCTGCACACATCACACTAGAAATGTATTTCCCTATTTTTACGTCTCTGAGAGGTTTCAGTAGGGGCTAAATG